ATTTTTAGGCATGTTTGCAATTTGATTATATTTTCCCATTAGACATCAAACAATATGATTGCCTACACTGGTCCACCAATTGTCATCATAAAATTGAGACAAAAGTATATATTTTGTGCTCGTTACCAATTTGTTACTTCACCAAACACACACACACTACACAAAACTTATACATTTTCTCACTGCCTCTTGCTATACCAAAGTCTACACACCTAATTACAATAGTTTATTAACATTTTCAGATCATCAATGGACTATTGTGTGGGTCAGAATATTAATCACACCATATTAACCAGATACTTTATCAACATGTATCTTTTTTGAGATCTGAGGAACTCACGGTAGTGAAGAAGTTGATACGTCTTCTGGATTTAACAACAGGCGGACCTGCACGTACATACCAGCAGCCCTAAAGATCGAGGCAGTCTATTCCTCTGAAATATTAGTAACTACTAACACGTCCATGTGGCATTACTACCCAGAACAACATTGACATGCTGGTCTCGATGTTAGAAATTTTTGTGTTTATTTCTGCCAAAAGACTGCCCCAAAAGTTGGATTGGACGAGAAAGAAGGTAAAGGTAGAGAAAGGGTGAAGGGGATAAAGGAATAGGAGGGGGAAGAAGTGGAGAGGAAAGTAACCTTTGAAAATTTTCACACTATTCTTTTCTACAATACATCAGGCTGCTACAAAAAAACTTTTTTTGTCCAATTTTCTTCCAGTCATTATCAAGGCATACAGCAAAAGAGGGCAATAATATATTATAAAAGAAAATCATAAGTATTTGATCTGTGCAGTGGATAACTTCTGCTTATAATTTCTTCTTAATATCTGACAAAGTTCCTTTGGGGAATTGAATCTTGACCCTTGAACTCTGGAAGTAAACTGGTGCTTATCTGTATAAAACATTGTGTACAGTTCTCCTGTACCCAGAAGTCAAAAGCACAGATCAGGGTCAAATCCATTATGTTTGCAGTGTCGATCATTTGACAGCTTAGATAACTGGCACCATTTATTTGTCTTAGCAATAGTCTCACCAGCAGATCTTAACTATGATAAATGCTATTCACCAAATTTATAAGTTTAAAAAAACATGAAACTGCCTAAATTTCATATCCTCACTGTATTCAATGAATGATTATCCATGGAACAAGCCAGTGATAAACCGGTGTGCTAACTGCATTTCACATATCTAATAAACAGCGTGCTCAGAATTCATAAGACAGTTCCGAGGTTTGTCTGGCATGTACTCGTAACCTGATCAGAGCAAATGGTCAGACTTTAAATTTAATTAAATATAGAATGAAAACACTCTTGAATGTTGACAACTTTCTAATTTAATTCCCCTTTTCTACACACCATTATTTTTACACCTTAATCACAATAATATCACTATAATAAATAATTCTAAAACAATACTGACAGCATTCACTATCACACTACAAACCTTAATTGATTAATTTAAGACATTATTAATTTGTAAGAATTCCCGATAAATTAAAACATATATAATATCATGGTTCCGTGTTACTTGGTGAATAATAATATCAAATGATTCAATTATGATAAATTAAAATAGTAATTTCTTATTACATCCAAACAAGCTCATTAAAATTCTTGTAATTCTTAGCTTTTGTTTTATTGCATACATCTGGTAATGGTACATACTCCTGATCTATATTCTTAAGACACACACACACAATTTTCTTTAAATTACAGTGAATTTTGTGATGTAATAAACACTTCTCCTTTCTACTTAGGATGTTCACATTTTAAATACTGATAACAAATGGTATCCCAAATTAAATTCTTTCTTCAGATCCCAAAGCCATTCTACATAAATGAAGGAATAAAAATATTAATCCTTTGCCAATTAGTAAAAATATCACTGTTATCACTGAAATTGTAAAAATCTGACTTTTTATACTTTGTGGACCTCTTTTTAACTGTCACAAAACCAACTCAACCAACCACAATACATAATTCTGTTCTTTTACAACACTTCTGATATGGATAATTGAGAGCCTCACTACATGCCTGAACAAAAGTATCGCACATAGAAAATATTCTTGTAACTATATGAGCCATCTTGCCCAACACATGAAGACAGAAACAGTATACAAGTTATCTCACTGGCAACAACTAAAAGGTTCAACTAGGCCACAGCCATTTCTTTCCTCTCATGACACTTCATGCATAACATCATTAAAACATAACTTGTAAAACTTTAACATTCTTAAAATACTATGTAAAGTGTTCACAATGTTTATTAAAAATTTATTTTACTTTAAAAATATATTCAATTCAAATGTACGTAAAGTATGATTGTATTAAGTCTACAAAATTTCAAGTCAAGTTATGAAAGCATATCTTACTCGACATATTTAAAATCTAAAACGAAAACAGTGTATGAAACTTTTATGTCAGTAGATATACATGTCCTAACATGTAATATTAAAAAAGTGATCAGGCTTTGAATATGACATATATTTTGAGGTATTAATATGACAAATAGTAATTACAAAATCCTCTTAACAATTACCAAAAACATGAGCACAAGCTACTATATTGCACACACATGGCAAGTTTAAAAACAATCAATAATATTGATTGACCCTGTGTGAAAATAAGTACGAGGTGCGATCGGAAAGTTTCAAGACTGTGTCAATAGAGGGCGAACCGGATGTAGTACGAGCTTCTGCCGCTAGGGGGTGCGGCCTACATTCATAGTGAATCAGTGTGCCAGCCGGCATCATCGAATTAGCATTTGTTTCTTAGTTACGGGCGTTTTGGTAGTGCATTACACCGACCCTCCTGAGATTTCGGAATGGCGTGTGCATCAAATTTGGCCAAAGACTCGCCAAAACGGCTACGGAAACCTATGAAATGCTAAAGCAAGCATTTGGGGAATCCGCAATGGGTCGTGCACAAACTTTTGTGTGGCATTCACGTTTTAAAAATGGCCGAACCTCTGTCGATGATGACGAGCGTTCTGGACGACCATCTTCGAGCACAACGCCCGAAAATGTTACGAAGATTCGGCAGGCCATTCACGAAGATCGACGTCGTACCATCAACGACTTGTGCGACATTGTTGGGCTAGGCTATGGGACCTGTCAGCTGTTTCTAAAGGAAGAACTCCACATGCGACGCATCATGACAACGCGCCAGCGCACACCGCCCTCAAAGTTCGGCAGTTTTTGGCCTCAAACACCATGGTCGTCATCCCGCACCCTCCTTATTCGCCGGGTGACTTCTTCCTCTTCCCAAAGATGAAAATTCAGCTAAAAGGAAGGAGATTTGAGACGATAGAAGAGATTCAGGCAGAATCGCAGATGGTGCTTGACAGGCTGACAAAGAAAGATTTCCAGGGATGCTTCCAGATTTGGCAGCGGCGCTGGGATCGTTGTGTTCACTCCCAGGGGAACTACTTCGAGGGTGATGGATGAATTTAATACCTGAGATAAGTGTACGGGTTTTTATAGGCGCAGTCTTGAAACTTTGCGATCGCACCTCGTATCCATTTATGATTTGATGCTTTCATGAAAAATACACTCAACATAATCCTCTTTACCTTTTTCCGATTCAAGAGTAACTTGCCTCAATAAATACTCGTAATATGGTATCAGAATTCAAAGGTTCGACGATTTTAATACCAAAGCCCAACAGGACACTTGAACTTCCCACCCTCAACCCCTCTCCCTAATGTCCATCTTATTATTATTCTCCCATCTCCCTGTAAGTCTTCCAAGTGTACGTTTCTAAAGAGATTTCCTTGCCAAAAATTCTGTATGTATTCTATGTCTCCCCCATCCTACCCACATGCACAACTCACAATTTTCTTTGATTTCACCACTTATATTTGGTGTCCTGTGTGAATCATGAAATTCCTTGTTGTGTAATATCCAAAACTTTTGTTACTTCCTTCCTTTCAGACTCCTCTAAATAAAACCATGTTTCACACTAAAGCAAATGGCAAAGTTATCCACCTATATAATGGTAACTTGATCTTTGGCAGTATGGAAAGTAGAGAGGATAACAGTTTTTGAACCAAATAAGAACAAGTATTTCCTGAATCTTATTCTTTGTTTCCTAATGTTACTTAAACATACTGAATTTTGAAACATTCTCAAATGATTTATTAATTATAGTTATAACATGACTGTTGCTGATTTTGTTTTCATGCTATGTTCATATATTTAGTTATATCTATGTTTACTTACTGGTTTATAGAAACATTTCTGTGTTACAAGGAAGCCACATATTTCAGCTGCACGAATAGATACTCCCAATTTTGGCAGAAAATGGGAATGAACCTGTTGTATGTCTTGCACACTATTTTATCTATTATTAATGGAAGTCTAGAATATTTATTACATCATGTGTTCAAAAATACTTTCTTTTTCTACACCAATGTCATCAAAATGATTAGAAATCTATGGGTTCAACCTTCAAGAACATCTACTCCAGTAATGTTAAAAATTTCCTTCAAAATCTCACCTTATCCCTGCAACATGTGACAAATTTTTATTAATTTTTTGGACAGACTGAGAAAAACCATGAAAGATATGAAACAAAATGGCTGGTAATTAGGCAGACATTAGAACCAGGTACAAGTCTGGAGTGGTATCACTGCACCAACCTGCTTGGTACTTAATTCGAACCAGACATTCAGACACATAGATTAACTCGGTCATAGTTCAGTTGTTTCCGAGTCCTTCTTGCAACTGAACCTCATATCTAGCATTATCTAAACACGATTCTTCAACCACGTAACAAAGTTCAATTAGAAACAGTTTACTTGTGATAGATGAGAACAGCATGTGTGTAAATGAGGAAATACGAATAGGTGTAGACTACGTTAGTAACATCCCTTTTTTTAACATCATACAATTACATCTTATAATATCAACAATTAATGCACTATATGAGATGATGAACTCAGAATTAGTACTGAAATGTGGTATACAGCACCAGTTCAAACTAATTAATCACCAAAGATTTTAAATTTGATATATAATTATGTCTTGCAGTACATTACAATAAACATCATGCTATTCACAAAACTTGAAGGTATTAGTCACATATAATCTGTATTGCAGAGGGACAGGGCATTTAAACCCTCAGACAAAGGGGCTACTGACTACTTTCATCGTTTAGTGGTATGAAGCCGGATCACATGTAAGAGGTGACACATGTTTAATAATGTTATTTCTTTTGTATGTAAAATAAATATTTGTACTGTGACTGGAATCTTTATGTTCCATGGAGTTGATTCAAACAAAACATTTTATCAGTTCATTATACAAACAATTATAATCTTTGTGATTCAAAATCAACAAGATTCTATTGATGAAGATACTGTTATAGCCCAAACTTTTATTTATATATGGAAAGAGATAAAATAAAACAAATTAGTTTCAAAATCTTAAATCAGAATGTGCTCTTCTGCTGACAATGTGTTTTGCAACAAGAAAAGAGTAAAATTTTGAGACACAGGTTCATAATGTAAGATTTTTATGTTGACAACTACCATGTCAGTAACACCAGAAATTAATTTTATGGGGTTTAAATTGGAAGCGCTCAAACTGGATTACTTGAGAGAAATATCCACATTTTGTACAGAACACATTTTTATTTTAGACCATGGTCTTCTGTGTTGTTACACATGTAGTAATCTGGATGTATATCAACATTTCAGAGGATACAAGATTGAAGTACCTACAGGCAGATGCAGCAAGTTCCTCTGAAAGGTTTATATATGGCACTATCTAAACTCACACTATAAAATCCTCAAATCATACACATTTCTATTCACTTAATGCAGGAATAAAAAATCTTAACCATTACCAAAATCTTCAGTCTACCCAGAGGACAGCACTGCCAAAATTTTCACAACGCATTTTCTCTATGATCCTCTGATATTCACTCTTGAGAAATAATCCTAATAAAATACATAATGTGTTAACAGCTCATATTACTAGATACAAATCAGTATCGTAAATGACATATTTTTGCCTTTAATTTAGCAAGGAACTATTTCCAAATGCTTGTAAAGAAATTATGTGGTCACTGGGAGGGACTGAAATAAAGATGAAAAACCATAATTTAAATTCACAGCATACTAAATAACAAAATATCTCCAAGTATAATTAAAAGAAAATCATTATATTCTGACAAATGCCATAGGTTTTTAAGCTTGTATGGATGCTAAAATCTCTGGTTAATAAACAGAATGATGAGGTTGCATAGCAATACATTCTGTTCAATTAATAGCTCCATTTCTTGCCACACAACCATTTTCAACAAGTTTAAAGCGATAGCACAAATCCATGTACATATGTATTTCAATAGCAACTCTATGGTGTTGAATGTTAAATAAAATCTGACACAGAAATGGTGTCACATGATACAACAGGTTCAACTTTAATAACAAACAATTTGAAGTAACAAGAGCATGAGACAGTATAAAATACACTATGTTCAGGAAACTGAGAGTTATAATATATCTGAGGTTCTATTTTGTTTTCACACCTACTTTAAAATAATTTTAAAAAATCAGTCGCAGTACTGGCAGTATTAATTTATCACCTCTATCTTCACTTGCATTATTATTATCATATTTGTTGATTCCTGGAACCAGAATTTTATAAGGTTACATTTTACCATGGATTCATTATAAAACACATTGAAACATCATCATACAACCAAAACAAATTAAACAGGAAAAGTCATTAAATTGTTAACTTCATAAAAATTTAAGATGTTAATAACAATGTTCAATCTGCATGAAAATTACCATTAAGAGCGGAGGTATTCAGAAGATAGGTGGAGTATACAGCGCGTGTATATCCATTTGCTGAGAAAGGTTGCCAAGGTTTCAGAATACAAATTATTTCATATTGGAATTTTTGTTAAACACTAGTGAAAACTCTTTGACATAACCTGATAACTGTGTGACATCCGCAATTTGGGTAATCTCAGCTTCTGGTACAATGGTAGGTATAAAATTAAACACAAAAAAGTATAAATAGTTAACTCACTGCACAACAGACTGGGATACTTTAGTTCTGTGTCAATTTTGATAAAATCATGTTGAAATCTGTGCATATATTTAAAGATGGTACTTTGTGTTGCCAAAATCAAATGCAATGCCACTGTGTTACATCTGAACAAGACACCATGGAATTTTCCAATTTACTCTAACCTAGTCCTTCTACAAACCCTACATAAACTACCGGCTTCCCAACCACCTCTAAACCAAAATTTCAAGGGAACTCACATAATTAACATGGTACAACCTGATCTGCAATCACCAGCTTAAACCAGTTAGAAGAATTTATGGATATTGGTTTTCCATCACTTCTTCAGAAAACAACGCAGAATTAGAGGTCTTCATGGTGACATAAGTATAGATGGTGGTGGACTTCTACATAGTATTCATGATGCAAATGAAGCTAAACTTATATGCTCTTAGAATATTACATCCCAGAATCTTAGATATTTACAGCTGCCATTTACTTTTCAAAAAACTTGTTCTAAAAATACATAAATTAAAAGTGTAACTGATTTATTTTTAATAACAAATAACAGGGCAAAATATTACTAACATAAGATTTATAATCTCTGACATACAATTCTAATTTTCAGAAACTTACACCAATATATAAATACCTGACCGTGCAGAATACTACCAAAAATTTAGAAATCACAGACCTCAAAAACAAAACACTGTGTAAGATTTTAAATTTCAATGGCAGTGAAAATCTGGATGACTGAAATGATATTAATTTCCTTCGAGTAACAGGCACACTTAATTTGATATATTCCAAATATGTTAAAGAATTTTTAAAATGCAGTGGTAGAGCAATGATGAAAGCAGTAGCAGCAATATTACAGTATAATTTTTACAGTAATAATCATATGTAATAAAAATGATTGACCAGTAATTCAGTGACAAATACACGAAAATGTTTGTAACTTATACAAGAGCAGAAAATATGAATAAACATTTCATACAGAAAATCACTAAACAGAATGAAATAAACACCATAAAATTAAACATGTCTAGTGCCTCATGTACGAACACACTGTATAAAGGAAGGCTAATACAATGTCATTAATGAAAGAAATATCTTAATTAAAACATGCTGCAAGCCAATATTCAGGATAAAACAATTATACGATCTGTAAACTTGTAAATGAATTCATTTACAATACAATATTACCAGAATAAGCCTTTGCTCTTGACAAGCACAAAACATTAGGATTCAAAGCATCATTGCAAAATCCTTCAATTTTAATCGGAGCCTAGTAACCTGACATCATACCTAAGTCCTGTACACAGAATAATATTTTAATAAAAGAACTGAGCTTCAGGAGTGAAAGCTCAATCTTCAAGCTATGGAAATTCTAGTAACATGCATCAGCTTCACCCCCTGAATGACAGTGTGTACTGCTCATTGATAGTTTGATACTTAAAATGTTGTTCTCTGATCACACAATGCAATAAAAAACTTTTACTCCTCAATTGTGTTAATTTATTAAATTCTTAGAACTTGTGGCTTGTAACTAAGATCAACAGCCGAAAAATTATAAACACATCTGCATTCACTGAATGGGGCAAACTGCCATTTCAGCATATGCCCTTATGGTATATTTTTAGTTATTGTTTGACCACAATGTAACTTTCAATAATTTTCAATGTTATTTGGTGGCATATTGTGCTCACACATTCACAGGATTTTATAATGGAATGGCCATTATTAAGTTCAATATGTGTGACTTTTATTTAAATAAGATGTTACTGAACATTAGTTATGAATGTAATATTACATTAATTCCTCACGCAACTGCATTCACACAAAAAAATGTTTTATGTGTATCTTGCAACATATCTCTTCACACCATAGGCTCTACATAAGGAACAAGAACAAACTTAATTACAAGTTACCTGGGCCCTTTGGATTGGACATTTAATATATTTAGGCTTTCTGACTTTTGGCAGAATATTCACCACATACTATAAATCATACACACTTCAGTTGACAAATTTCAACTCTGGACAAGTAAACATAGGACATTAGAAACTACAAATGTGTTCCTTCCCCACCAGCAAGTGGTAACACTTTTAATCATACCTTTTTCAAAACACAAGTATATTATACTTTAATTCCAGACACACTCATTTCAAGGTCACATAGAGTAGCACATTCGGAACACCCACAAGAAGCCAATGCATTACTTATGCAAATCTACATAATGGACAGAACCGGAAATTACACTGCACTTAGCATTAAAGGGCCAAAGAAACAATTTAAATATCAGATATGAGGTTCTCATGGTGGCGAGCACAAAGATGGATGTCTTCTAGGTCATAGTGCCATGTAGCCTGGTAAATGTCTACCACATTACATGGCACTACAACCCAGAAGACAGTCATTTCAAATTAAATGTCATCTTCTGCGCAACTTTCATAAGCACAATACTGAGTGGACTTCAGTTTAGCGAAAGCAGCCCTTGCCATCAATTACAGAAAATTTTAGCACACTTGCCAGCAAAGGGCAAATGAGCAATATCAATGTCATCTTCCCTGCAAACTTCAATAGCAGAAGATTGGGCGGATTTCATGGTAGAGTAGTCACTGCCATCGAAGTCTGCAATAAAGATGCAATACAATGGATATACATTTGTAAAAATTTGTACCTTTACGTACTATCCTGGAAAGTGTCATTCTCATCTATCACTTAATTTTTAATTAGTATTTTATGTCATATCACACAAGTTAGAGTGAACTCCATTACTTTTTATTCTTTACACAAGTGTTCTACTCCTTTTAAATACCTTGGTACCCTGCAGTACAACTGTAGAATTTTAACCAAAGTGCACCAAACTGTAATACAAGGCTCGTAAAGTCTCAAAGATATGTACACATCATTGATTTACTTTATCAGCCTCCCTCCTTTGCTCTATCCCAATTTAATAATATGATACTTGTTGTATGTCATATGTAATGAACATTAGTAATTTGAAATGAGTATGTTCACTTTTTGTACTCAATAAGAAAAAAATTATGTGTGACATGGAAGGAGTTTTTACCCTAGTGCATAAGGTACTACAATTATAGCCTTGCTTGCGGATAATGATAATGAAGATGATAGTAATTATGACAATGGTAATGACAGTCACAAGTTTGATTATGTAATAATTAATATAACAATAACACATTCCACTCTGGTTGAACTATGTCTTTGTTTACACTTGCATTTTAGAAAAACAGTCCATATGATGGATTATGTGAACATGGTTTCCAAAGAGTTGGAAATTCAAGGTTACAAATGGACAGGAGGATATTCCAGCAGTTAAATAAAAATAAGTTTGCCACAGTTTTCACATTGACAAGCTGAACTGTACAGTATAATGTATCAGTGACTGGAAATATAATAAAACAGAAAGAATAATCTGTTGTCCATGTTTCTTAAAAAATATCTTGAATGTCTTCTGTAAAATGCTACTTTTTAACCACTCAAAGCCCAGTGGTAACTTTTCAACCACCTACTTTAATAATCAGCAACTCTGCATTTTGCGCACAGAATGTATTTATGGGTTTCACACAATTGTCAGGGTAAATAGGATCGGCTGAGCGGACCTTGTTATGAAGAAGCATTGTTTCCTTCCTGGTATAAACTCAATTTTCAACATAATTTAGACCCACTTTAGCTTCAGCAGGCCAATAAAATAAATAAAGTGAATGTAGGGTAGATTTAAAAGTACAGCAAACAGAACAGAGAGAAATCCTGCACTGAGTAAAGAAGAATGTTGAGAAATAAACAATGTAATTCCACATCTTTAGATATACTATACCAGGCCAAAAAATACTCAAAATGGTGTTCTGTATTCCAGTTTCTATACTAGTGTTCATGATGGTCAAATTTCTAGTATTTTAAATTGTGATTAATATTAAAGAATACTTTTTGGGTTGGCACCTAGTAAACTTAAGATTGTGTTTATGGTTTCTAAATATTGCCAGTATTCAGTTACTTTTTCACTACAAGAGTGACCATATACACAGTTCCTCATAATCTCTTCACATGTCCAGAAAATTTAATTAAAGCAACAAAACTGTTAATCACAAATAAATATTAAATGCATTATTCTGATTATTCTTATGAACCAAATGTGAACAAATTCATTCCATACAAATGTCTGTGATTAAACAGAAGAGCCACTTACTATAATCCAATGCTTGATCATCACTAAAACGTCACACAATTAAAGCCAAAAAGTGCCTCATTTAATTAATGATCAAAATTTTGTCATAACAATTGGTCATGTTCTGCTAAGGTTTCAGATAACTCTATATGAATTTCTTTTATTATTTTACATTCAAAATCATAAAAATGATTTGTAATACTAGCACGTGTTCAGGTAATTTTTACATACTTTTCTTACCATGTAGACTGTCTTTCTAATCTCTCCTTACCACGTAACCTTACCAACTCTGTTGGATATATCCATAGCTTTCTGCACTTCTATAAATGTTCATTTTTTCTGAATCCCTCTGCATCCAGTGCTTTGCTTTTCAGACATATCATATGTATTATATACTTATAACAAATAAAGTGCAATCATACTCTGTTTATACACTCATTACATATTGGATACATGGCCTAAATGGCAAGAGGCCAAGTTATTTGCATGAAGATCACATATTTTGAACAGGAAAGATCTGAGGTGGTACATGCAAACACAAATCCATATAGTACTGCAGTCCACCTTGCAATTCACTTATATCCTGTGATTCTGATTCTCCAACAAAACAAAAAGATGCAGATTAGTACCCAAAACGAGAATAATTAACCTAATTAACCATTAAAGTATTAATATACATTCATCTATAATTTTACTATAACATTTAAAACAATAATTAACAAAAAACTAAATAAACAAACATTTTTTGGAACAATTTACTTGCTGGGAAGTACATGTAAATTAAATACTATTTAGGAACTGCTTAAGTTCTTAAAATGTAATTATAAATATTTAAGGAATTAAGTTCTATATGTAAACAAGTATTTCACATTTGCTGCATAAAATATTGATAGATCAATAAAACAAATGTTCAACAAATGACACCACACAAAGAATTCTGGAACTATACATTATATACATTTATGTAGAAAATTACATTAAAATGGTTAAAAAGTGAGAAAGAGGGAAAATGGTATATTTCATAAAACTGAATTAGACCATATATACAATATAATAATTAGCTGCACACAAAACAAGAATAATCAAAGTATGACACTTGACTCACATGTTCATTTTAATTTGATGCTAAACTGTTTTACTTTTTGGAGTAACTAACTTTCTCATACTATATTAAACCATAGCCCTTATCAGAATCTACACACATGAATCCAGTGTAGTGCATACTGATGACATTCGCTGGTTCACTCCTCACTGTTATGAGCATAATGAAACTCAAAAGCAAATTTGCTTTGGGCTCAATTTTACAATAGAAGATTTATGCCAAAATATCTATGAAACAAAACTTAAATTATTAAGTTATTTATACTTCAACAGTTAACTACATACTGTTAAACCCGCTTGAATCACATACAGCATAAAAGAACTGTGTAATGTAATTTAACTTCCAACACGAGACTACAATAGCTGGGTTATAAAAGAAATAAGAACAAACATGATAAAGGTTTCTAAGTATTTATCAACACAAAACAAGGTGCCATATTTAACTCATAATGTAACCAACATGAACTCCACAAATGTTTTTCTTAAACAGTTCAAGTGTTTTCAGGTGTTTGGAAATATCAGCATCTTAAATACGGTTAATGACAGATTCTGTCAAATATTTCAGTTCTCTGGATGTTTAACACTGCAGAAATTGACATAAAATGATGTACAGTTTAGGGAGAAGTGGTCTTATCAAGATACAAGACACAGTGACTTGAATAGCTGCTTCCTAGGCTTAGGGTTAATGGAAACTCTAGAGCCACTTGATGAGAAACAGAAAGACATACATTTACATCTCCATTTCCAGCAGATGCTAACTGATTTCCTGATGCACAAAGTTTTGGAAAACAGACACGACTGCTACCTCCAGTCAATGACTCACCATGGGTGCCAGACCACATCAAACACAGAGCAGAACCACACTCCAGACCCCCACTGACACCATGTCTATTTATAACATTGCCACTTGTGACCACATTATCTTGCAGAGATTTGCTGCTACAGTTAAACTCAAAATCATTTTCATAAGTGACGTCATTTGTACCGTAGTGACTATGTTTGGTAACAGTGCTGCCAACTTTGCAACCAGTAGGATGTTTCAATACTGGATTTGCAGATCTGTGGTGGAGGTGGTGATGGTGGACATGATGACGATGAAAACTTCGTGGGGTATGGTGATTGGTTCTAATCAGAGGACGACGATAATTAATTTCAATCAGCATCAACTGATCAAATCGTCATAAGTCAGGAAACCTACGCAAATGGAAGATAACCAGTGTTACAAATGTAACCTTCAAAAGAATAACACATGAGTATCTAGAAGAGAATTAATCAAAATTATTAAGTTGATATTACCTTGCACACATACAGCAAACATACCTGTACACTCCAAACCGATCTGAAAATTGTACATTAATACACATTCCTTAACACAAAATGGCAATTTTTAATATATCATATCTAAACAAAATTATCAATTAAATATTTTATTACAAACAAAAGAATACCTTGGTATCTTATTTTTTCTTAACAATTATAACAGCATACAGACCGAACACTAAATTTTTGGCCTCAAAACATTTCTTTAAAAGTTCAGAGTAATGGAAGTACCTTTCTCCTTAATGAAAAAAATGCATACATGTAGTGAAACATGAATAGTAAAACCATATGACTAAAACTGCCATTTGTGTCAATGTTTACATGTATGAATTCAAACTATAGTAAAATTTAAGGTTAGTGTGCATAGCTTATAATGAACTATTTTAAAGAAATTAGCACACAACAAAAAGCAAACAAACTCACAAAGAAACTGATTAACCCTTTGAAGTCGAGTGATAATGTGTGTACCATCTTCTTTAACAATCAGAAATGCTGCATTTTGTACAATTCTCAATGTAAACAGGGAGATTTCTTTAAACAGTTTTTATCAATTTCATCTTTGTAATGGTGAAATGCTGTGTTTTCTTTGAGGTATGGACTGTAATTAAAAAATATTATTCTCACAAGTTTTGACTTGAAAGGGTTAATTATGTGCAATGAGACTTGTAAACTAAATATATTTAAGCTATTAAGCTGTTCACAAGCTACTGGGGCTAGAACTTGGTGAAGAAACCTAGTGGAAAGCTGTTACTTGGATGATAAAGCAGGAGGAAGAAAGACAGTTTAAGTAATAAGGTTTAGATGTTGTGGACTGGACTCAGTATAGGATTTAAAGGCAGTGTCTGGTGTTGGTAGTGTTAAACCTTTGAGTTCTACTGTCACAGAGAATAAGAGAATTCAAGAATAAACAAACTTTCTGGGTTAACACAAGTAACTGATGAGTCGAACTAGCACCTCATATTCACTAAAGTGAAGCTGTGCAGCTACACGCCATAGTGGCACCTGTGGCAAGAGGATCAATAGCTTCTACTCATTCTTGACCTCGGCATTGGACAGGGTGAACGGTCAGCATCACAAACCTAACCACACCTTACCCCCCTGGAAAGGACCCCCAGTGCCCACTGTATTGGATTGGAAGGTGGGTGAACCCCACAGCCAATATGGATGCAAAAGTTAGAAGAAAAATCCTTTGCCCCTGCCTGGGATAAAATCCTGGGCATCTAGCTCACAGTCAGTTACTGATTGGGCTACCCTGGCTCATATACAGAGTGTCCCAAAAAGATACATACACATTCAAGAATTCATTATTCCTACCATACGTCAGCTGTATGGATGTGAGGACATGGTATGAAGAAGATGGGACACCCCCACATTACCATCATGATGTCAGGGCCTATCTTGACACTTTTCCCATCCAACAGATAGAACACAACAGCATCTGCTGAGTAACCCCCATGTTCGCCAGATTTAATCCCACCCGCCTTTTTCTGGTAGGGTACTTGAAGGATGCAGTGCACAGAGCAAAGCCAGTAACACTTCAAGAGCTACACAGTAAGAAACAGAACAGTCTTGCGCAGCCATCCAAGCGTCAACTTCAGTGACCGCGTCTCAGTCAGTTGTTCAACAGTCAACTGTGCCACAAAGCCAATGGTAGCTATTTTGAATACCTATACTAGATTTGCTAATTAAATAAGTCTCAATGCTGTATTATGTAATGGTTTGGTTTAGTTTAGTTTTGTTATTAAATATCTTTATCTCATTCACTGAATGTGTATAAACATCTTTCCTGGACAATCTGCACATTCACTAAACCACTCGCATATACCCATGTTTTATCCATTAAAATATTCTGTTCTGCTACACATCACAGGTTGCCAAAAGTATCATTTCAACACACCAGTTACCTGTTTAATAAATCTAAAATTTGGTTAATAATTATAAACAAATAAATACAATCTTACTATAATGCTGTAGTTACTACTCTACAATCACATTTTTGCTGAAGGATACAAGAACTTGACATACACATAAGCAACTACACACATGCATACACCCCCCTCAAATAATCTCAATCTCACATAATTTCCCTATACAAAACCATGCAAGCATTCATGTAAACATACAATTTTGTGGTTACACTTTCTGTACCACTTGACCACACAAAATGGAACTGAGAACTTTAAAATTATTATTTCCATTTCACCTGATTTAGAGACTTTGTTTTGGGCACTTCTGGCCAGACTATGATTAATTTTTTTAAAAATGCTAATGGTGTTAAATTATACCTTCCTGCATTACTGATAAAGTTCAACAACAAATATTCACAACATTTAAAAACTGAGACCTTGTGGATATAGTCAGTGAAACTACAGGCAAACAGTACATTCAGGACACTATTTCTTTAATGTCACATGTGAATGAAATTATTTTGATCTAACTGCCTGAGTAAGGCACCACACACTTTCCAGTGATATGAAAAAAATGGATGTCCATTCAATAATCAAGTTCCTGCAAACTTATCTTCAGTACATTAAAACAGGAGTTCTCAACTCACGACCTGCATTAATTTCTGTAGCTCGATAACATTCTGTGATGAATAAATAGTATATTTTTTTATAAATTACAATGAAGTTTAAATAAACTGTATTCAAATATAACCTGGCAGCCTGTAAGTTTGTACGAAATGATATGACCCCTGGTCTAAAAAGGGCGAGAACCCCTGCTTTAAAATCATGGCTAGCAAATTATTTTATAAGTAATAAAAACAACTTTTCAACTCCATAAGTTATTCTTCCCAGAACCTGACGATCTAAGCAGCATGACAAGAAACAAAATGTCAATTTAAACTGAATCACGAAGAAACGTCAAAGAACAAGGAAAAATACTTGAGATAAGTGATGATGATCTGGGCTGTTATAGTATATGGCCATGTGCCACTGTTCTGGAGGAATGCACTGCTTCCATCATCAAGACATTGTGCAAAATACAATACCCATAAGATCCTTGATATTCACATTGCAGTAAAAACCTCAAACTTTAGAGATAAAACTGGACTGTTAAAGTGAGGCTTACACTGCTCATTTAGCACAATTTAACAAACAGGATATTTTCCTTACATTTATGCAGTAGAACTGTACACCTTGTACAAATTAGAACTTCAACTCTGTAGGTAGCAGTACAGGTACAGAACTGATGTTAAGAAGATCAAATGAAACACTCCACTACTAAAATGAAGCAATGAGATTGGCAAAGCAGTTGACAGAATCCAGAACTTAAATTACTTGTGTTCACAACTGCCAGCAACTAGACTCTATCCTGCCAGGTAAATCCAGTCACCTCACCTTTCTTTAAAATCCACTTTAATTTTGTACTTGAAGTTATGCCTCAGTCACTGACGTGGGTCTCTTATATTGAGGGTTGCAAACTAAAATTGATACACACTTCTCGTACTGGGTGTGCTATATATCCTATCCCCATTATTCTCCTAATAATATTTGAGTAAAAATACACATAGCTAAGTTCCTCATTATGCAGTTTTCTCTGTCTTCAAGTTACAAGAATGCCAGAAAGACTTTAAATGGAATTTGATGCACAAGACCCCATTCAATCACAATTAGGAAATAGGAGGAGTAAGGTGACAGAATGAGCATAACAGTGACAAGATTTGAAGAAACGTAAGTGGTTTATCTGATCCCATCTCTCCAAACTAATCCAGGTAAATGGAAGAATTACATGTTATCTAAGAGGTTAAGGTGAAGGGACGGTACCACTGTACCTAACAGCATGCCAATTATATGCACAGGGGCATGGAGGGAATGTTCAACATATTCTCAGACCTCAGCAATAGCTTCACGTTCTGGATGCCTTTACCTCTGAGGAAAGTTCTCCACCATCTGGTACCCATCGTACAGGAGGGTAGGTGCATCCCAAAGCCATCCCGGACATGCTGGTGAAGAGAAAATTTTCCAACACCTCTAATAAACTTGCACCCCAGCCATTCAGTGTATCACCAGCCAAATTACTGGACAAGCTACATTCTGAACTATAGCAGCAGTTTCCAAATTTCTGCAGTATTACAACCACCCTAAAAACACATCATTCTCCCACCTCTTTCCTTCCCTATCAATAATTAATCAAAAATATTTTCATATGACACTTCCTCATCCACTGTGACTTATTAAGATTAAATGCCAATGATAATGACAACAATAAAACAGCAGCTAGCTATATGAAGTAAAACCAGAACAAAATTACGTATAGGCCATGCATGGCAATGGTAAATATAACCATGACAAAATGTGAAAAGAATGAAGTTCATCTTCATATTTAACAAGGAAATTACATAAAAAATGTTTCAGTGGATTATAATAATGCAAAAGATGTTTGGAAAAAAAACATGTCCTATAGGGAAGGAAAAAACAATGTGCAATAAAGAATGAGAATCTGGACACTCGCAGATATGAGACGTTGATCCCAAAACAGAATGTTTAAAACAAGTTCCACAATATAAGGTAACAGAACCATCTAGACAGAATTTATAGACCAAAACAGAGAGTAACCACGCTGCAGAAATTAAAAAAAATTACATCCATTATGGGAAAATAATATTGGCAGAAAACAGGGAAATTGTTTTAAAAAAAAAATTAAAATATTTCATCAATCATTATAATATAGCCCTACATCTTCCACAAACAGTCAGCCATTAAAAACTATAGACCACGTATGTGACCTTCTTTTAAGGATGACAATTCAGGAAGAATTTCTGTAAATGGATTTTGCATGAAATAGTTACAGTGCAAAAACTACTGGTGTGCTTAATGAAGTCATCAAATTTAGTTTCAACCTTACTACTATGCAAAATGTTTTCAGAAACTGATAACACATAGAAATACTAATTCCTTACATTTCAAAACTAAAATTTCACATTTCATTAAATAATTTTTATCTGATACACAATATAAATTCAAAAACTTTACACCACTGTAATTACATTGCTGGTTTTAATTATGCCCAATAAATGTGCTAACCTCAGATAAAGATAAAGTTGTATTTGTGATTAACCATTACAAGACAAAGGCATAAAGTGGACATGGCAATAAGGTCCACATATTCTAAACTTCAAAATGAGATAACGTTAACTGTCGGCTTCACACTGCAGCCAACTTAAACTCCAGGCAAAGTCCCTAGTACACACTGGATAGGAGGCTGGGTGGATCACAAAGCCAATGTATAAAAAAAACTCAACAGAATTACAGACAATTATGAGAACTTATGTCGAATGATTCTGATTTCGAATATATATAGGACTTACCAGTATATGATGGTGGTAAGTACTTGAAAACACAGTTTCCAAACCAAGTTTGAATTATATTGTTGCCCAACATACCACAGCAGACTCTTCATCACTCGACTACTTTTAAATATATTTTTATTATTGTGCCAAACATGGTGATCGAGCAGTTAGTACATCTGCTTCATACTGATGAGGTATCGGGTTCAGAAACTCAGCCCAAATACTCACTAACCTGAATGATACTGTTATGATTTTATTAATCACTTAAAGATATGGTACAAAATCCTTCAGCACAAGATCATAGGTTGCCATTCTCATTATAAAAAAAGTTTGTATCTATCAGTATAATGTCATAAGCACCACAAATATATCTTACCTGATTAGGAATGGGCTAGAACTGAAACATTCAAATCACTGGCCAGTTTTCAGTAACAGTCATCACATTTGTGTATTTGTAGGCACATGCATGTGGATGTGCAAGTTTGTGTGTGAAGAAATTGGCTGTTTGTGCTCACAACTCAAACCCAACCAAAAGAAAGAGAACTTCCCTCTGTAGACAACATCCCAGCCCAATGACTACACTATGAATTGAATAGCAGGTGATTATATTACAAAATATTTAGTAAATGTTTTGCAATTATTAAAATTCAAATTTGTTTTAAATTTTAAAACAGTAAATATGTACAAGAATAATGACTTTACACAAAGAAGTAATGTTTTCTTAAGTCTTCACAATGCCATTGGTTACATTGCCATTTCTTAATTAATTATCGAAATATGATTATTTTAGGCAAAATTGGCACAGAAACAAAAAATATGGCAGGCATATAATTGTGTCAACGTAACTTTGTGTAGCAAATTTAAACTTAGCATACCACCGAGACGGATACTGCAATACGCTGCGTATCTTTTAAAGGGTTAACCAATGGTGGAGCAATCTTTCTTAACAATTCTCTCCTTCACATTCATACACAAAACACTGACCACTATAGTCAATACTGATAAATAATGAAATATAATAGTATTATAATGAAAGTAAAAAGTGCATATAAACTGCATTTTGTTATCATTATCTATAAAATGTGATAAGACATGCAGTAAGATTGAGATAATAAATACTAGCACTTGCACGGTTTTTCTGAATACAAAACAACTTAACCACTCGATGATCAAAATTCAAATCTAATGCATGAAAATTTGTACTTGCATGACATTGACACAGTTACAGCATTTACTATCCTCTCTAAAATATAATGTGATGGAAATACACAATGTCACATAATACTTGCCAAAATAGTAAACTTCAACATATCATCTTTTTTCATATGGTCACACAAACTGTAACTGTAAACTGAAACTGCTGTCAGGTAATATATATAAAAATATGTCCAAAGTGTTAAATCTGGCATTTTTAATCTAGCCCATATGATATAACCACGTCACCCTCGGTGGACTAGCGGTTAGCACGCTCGCCACTGGACCCAAGGTTAGCGGGTTCAAACCCAGCCAAGGGCAATGGATTTTTAAGGGTGATAAAAATCCGTAGCACAACTTTCTTCGGAGGGGAAGTAAAGCCAGCGGTCCCACGTCGTAGATTCATGGCATATAAAAAAACCTTACAAGCACGAACGAGATGTTTTGTAAGCAAAATTCAGCAGTCATTTCTCACCCAAGTCCCTTGATTCACTGCTTGATGGCTCTGGTAGTCAAATCAGGATTGAGTAGAAATTGTGCAGTCAGTGGGCTGGTCACTCACTACTCACAAATGCACACTTCAAAGACCAAGAAACCTCCAAAAAGGACAAGGCAAAAACCCACAACTGGGTTGTAGAACCAAGAAACATGTGATATAGCCATACTGTGATGATATATAAACATTGTTATCTTACCTTGTTGGGTCTTCTATGTAATGTGATGGTATTTCAAAGAGTTCAGCCTTGATGTCATTCCGAAACGCAAATTCCTGGAATGTGATTTTAGCTGTAACAGTGGGTAGGATCGGAATATCTAGAACAAACCAAATCAAATAGAACTTGGAACTGGTACAGTACCTGCATTAACAATAATCTTGTTATATCAAACACTCTTCTTTCCAAAAAAATGAGGTAAGAAAGCGTATGTGAAAGTGGTGACTGGAAACAAAGTCTTTATATACATATATGGAAGTGTACTATCTTCCTAATGATGGCTGCCCATATATTAAACCAGTCAGACTATAAATTATTAAAATATTTTGATGGGAAAATCTTGACTGTCTTATACTATCTGAATATCATACTAACAAATCACCACCTAGGTGAGAACCTAAGATATCAGGGCAGTAAATATGCAGACGACTCTTCTGGGATGTAGCACCATGTGGACTGGTAGACTGGCTGACATTTCAACCAAATGACCAACAAGTCTGTCAGTCCAAAAGACCCTCAATACAGTGTGCGAGTATTCGATTTGCCATGTGTCTAGCACACACATACTATAAACACAAAAAGTTTGCAAAATAACTGCTTACAGATTATGAATAGCAGGCACAGTGGATGGTTGATTAAACATGTATGAAGGAAATACAGACAGATTTAAAGGAAAGAAATTATCATAACAGACAAATGTAATCCCTATATATGGTACTTTATTTTATTCACTTTAAACATCTATATAGAACTATTTAAACATAACAAAATAAAAGTCACAAATGTATCACAGAGAATCATTTTGGTATCCAATAACTTGTTGCCCAATATGTAAAGTACTTTGACCTTTATTTGGTATTTTTAATGGAAGAAAAAGCATCTAACACCAACCAAACTAACCACATGGCTCACAGTTATCAATGCATGTGAATTAAAACTAAAGAACCATTGCTCACCTATTTTGACTGGAAAGCCTGGAGGTAGCTTCATAAGAACAAATTCTCTCAGCTTACTGAAGTGTTTAAAAGGAGCAATCACTTCTAGTACATTCAGCAGCATATCCACAGACAACGGGAAGTCAGGACTCTGAAAATGTGATGTGTTTTACTGGTCTTACATATTAATTCAATTCCATAAGAAAAACACACATCACCATTACACATTATCTCTAGAACAATTTTTGCTCTTTATTTTGAGAACCAAAGAAAACCCTAAAATAAACTCTGTGACATGCAGAGTTACAAACACAAAAAGCAGGTGGCATACTGACACAAATGACCTATACAGGGTTGAAGAGCATCGGCAACAGAATCCCAATATGTTCCGCAGGAAGTAACACACACAAGTGATGATTGCCAAGAATGAGTAGAATTTATACCTTCTCCCCCCCCTCCCCCCCCAAAGCCTTCATGGCATATACTGGGGACAGCTTTATTTTTACTAAATGTTTTTTTTATAAAAAGTATATCTTCAACACAAATAATATACTTCTGTACGGATAGTTTTCTCTGTGTGTGCATGTATGTGTGTTTGAGAGAGCAATGAATTTGCATATGACAATCTAAATTTTATATACAAATATAAGAATGGCCAGAAGAACGATATAAACATTTAATGTGGCAAAAACTGTCATGTCATTCACGGTAAATTACAGAAATAAATATGGTAATTCTTTTTACTTACCATAGCAACAGTAGCCTTGAATGCTTTGCTGGTTTCTTTGTATACAAGATTTCGCCCTAATGTTGGATGGTTTCCAGGTTCACTTCCTATATATTCCTCCCATGATACTTTGCTCTCTGGTGGGGGTGACAATGATGGCCTCCGTACAGGCTGCAATGCAAAAATCCAAACAGACTGCCTTAAATGACTGATCTCTCGGTAAAATCATAGCCTGTCAAACTTCATCACATGTGCCACAAATAATGAACAAAATTTCCTGCCTCATTCATTCCTAGCTACCTAACTAGCTAGCTAGTTCCACTGACCACAGTACGTTCAGCTAGTCAAGAAATTACCCTATCCTAAGCCATATTTTTTCCTATGCCCACAGACTTTACTATAGGTTTCATGAAACGCATTTTAATTGGCCCAACTAGTTTCATGGGTGTACTGAAATCAATGAGAATGTATAATATTTCTCTCCTAAATGAACCAAGGTATTCTTAAAGTCTATAAATAGCTGCACTAATGTCCCATTATACTCCCATTTTCTTTTGGGTATCAGACAAATGCAGAATATCTGATCAGCAGTTATGTAAAAATCCATGCTGATGATCCCCAATAATTTTGACAATTAATAAAATTTTCTCGAGCTAACAGCAGCATCATTTGGTTAAACTCATGACTAGCCCTGAAAATGAGGGCAGAGATTGCCCTTGAAATGTCAGCAGAGTTTAACCAAGTGATGTGGCTGCTAGCTAATTAAGGCAACACAATTAAAGGAAGAAAGTGTAATGCCTTTACCTCTCCATTGTTATCAAAACCCTGTGTACTGCCTTTGGTAAAACTTTCCATAATGGCTTTGTTCTTCTGCAGGTCCTCTTCTGAGAGGTGCTCCCGCCTTTTCCGCGACTCGAGAAGCATACCATTGATGACATAAAACTCTGAATGGAATGGCCCAACCATCTCCTGCAAATTTATAATATTCATTTTCAATACTGAAAAGACAGTTTTACAGTAGGGCACCGCTTATACGGCAGGTTAGGGACCAGACTCCCGCCGTAAAGCGAAAATCGCCGAAAAGCGGATCTTTTCCTTTTCTCACTTGCAAATGCATATCAAAGTCTAATAAGATGTTTACACTATCATATAGTAAGTGCACAATAGCGCTAGGCCTAAGAAAACGATATGAAAGTTAAATGAATATCAGTAGTACACACATTGTGGCTGGTTTGATCTTCAATCCACACAACTGAAAGTTTTTCCATGTCGGCAAAAAGGTTATCTCTTTTTCTTATGACTTTAGAGTTCATTGGTGTGGCACGTTTAATTTCATCGAACGCTAAATATACAGTTTGAAATAACTTTGAAAAATTGCCAGAAATACAGATAGACGCGGAGCACACGAAAGTTGTAAACAGATTGAATCAGCGACGAGAAAATGGCGCCGGACGCACTTCTATGACTCAGCTGTTGAGCGCCGTATTAGCGGATCGCCGTAAAGCGGAGCGCCGAAAAGCAGGGCCCTACTGTATATAAGTTATATAAAAGGTGGTTTCTTTTTAACAGAATATACTGAATGTCAATCTTCTGTCCATCAAGAACACAAATGAAAATGTGCATTCCAATGCAGCACACATTTTCCATTTTTTTTAACGCTTCATTGGATCTCATAACGATTTACTATGGACATAAATCTATTCTTGCAAAACACTACGGATATCACACCATACAAGATAAATTATGCGCATTTGTATCTATATTATAAAAATTTGTGATTCCTCGTTGTCTTCAAGAAATTACGTCATCAACAATGTCAACTATAAACAAACTCGGCATTGTTGTGGAACACAACAATGCCGAGTACAACACAATAATGCCGAGTAAACAAATAACGCTTGACTACCAAGCCAGTCGCATTATCACTGCTACAGAAGCAGCACGTCGCATTATTAAAAATTGACTGACAGTTGGCTTAAAACATCAGAAAAGTGAAAGAAGATGTTATCAAGTATTTGAAGTACCAAATCCAACAACTGCAAGAAGGTAAAGTGATACTAATAATACTACTCATATATACTCGATATATTACAATTACGAAAACTGACTTTATGATCGATTTTAAGACGAAGATTTGCAAGAGTGGGACTAGACGTAGAAAGTTGACTGACCAAGAACAATTGGCCTCTGAATAGCGACGTAAAGAACTAAAACATGAGACCTACTTAACAAATAAAAAAAAAGCGAAGAGCGACTTACATTGATAAACGTAGGAAAACGTATTCAACAAGAACAGAAGAACAAAAAAGAAAATGAAGATTTGCAAGGGTGGGGTTGGACGTAGATAGTTGACTAACCAAGAACAATTGGCCTCTGAATAGCGACGTAAAATCTTAAAAATCTGAACTAACTAACAAATGAAGAAAAGCGAAGGAAGTCTTACATTGATAAACGCAGAAAAACTAATTCAACAAGAACAGAAGGGGAAAAAGCAGACAAAGATTTGTAAGGGTGGGGTTGGACGTAGAAAGTTGACTGACCAAAAACAATTGGCCTCTGAATAGCGACGTAATATTAAAAAAGAAAGAAAGGGGAAAAAAGCAGACGAAGATTTGTAAGGGTGGGGCTGGACGTAGAAATTTGGCTGACCAAGAACAATTGGCCTCTGAATAGCAATGTAAATAACTAAAACATCAGAACTATTTAACAAATGAAGAAAAGCAATGTAAGACTTACAATGCTAGATGAGACCATATTAACGACACACGTAGAAAAACTTATTCGGTAAGAACAGAAGGGGAAAAAGAAAACAAAGATTTGCAAGGGTGGGGTTGGATGTAGATAGTTGACTAACCAAGAACAATTGGCCTCTGAATAGCAACGTAAAATCTTAAAAATCTGAACTATCTAACAAATGAAGAAAAGCAAAGGAAGACTTACATTGATAAACGTAGAAAAACTAATTCAACAAGAACAGAAGAGGAAAAAGCAGACGAAGATTTGCAAGGGTGGGGTTGGATGTAGATAGTTGACTAACCAAGAACAATTGGCCTCTGAATAGCAACGTAAAATCTTAAAAATCTGAACTATCTAACAAATGAAGAAAAGCAAAGGAAGACTTACATTGATAAACGTAGAAAAACTAATTCAACAAGAACAGAAGAGGAAAAAGCAGACGAAGATTTGCAAGGGTGGGGTTGGACGTAGATAGCTGACTAACCAAGAACAATTGTCCTCTGAATAGCAACGTAGCAACTTAAAAACCTGACCTATCTAACAAATAAAGAAAAGCGAAGGGAAATCCACATTGATAAAAGTAGGAAAACGTATTCAATAAGAACAGAAGGGGAAAAAAGCAGACGAAGATTTGTAAGGGTGGGGCTGGACGTAGAAATTTGGCTGACCAAGAACAATTGGCCTCTGAATAGCGACGTAAGAACTTAAAAACCTGACCTATCTAACAAATAAAGAAAAGCGAAGGGAAATCCACATTGATAAACATAGGAAAACGTATTCAACAAGAACAGAAGGGGAAAAAGCAGACGAAGATTTGTAAGGGTGGGGCTGAACGTAGAAAGTTGACTGACCTAGAACAATTGGCCTCTGAATAGCGACGTAAGAACTTAAAAACCTGACCTATCTAACAAATAATGAAAAGCGAAGGGAAATCCACATTGATAAACATAGGAAAACGTATTCAACAAGAACAGAAGGGGAAAAAGCAGACGAAGATTTGTAAGGGTGGGGCTGGACGTAGAAATTTGGCTGACCAAGAACAATTGGCCTCTGAATAGCGACGTAAGAACTTAAAAACCTGACCTATCTAACAAATAAAGAAAAGCGAAGGGAAATCCACATTGATAAACATAGGAAAACGTATTCAACAAGAACAGAAGGGGAAAAAGCAGACGAAGATTTG